TTTATATGCAGAGTCATTACAAATACTCAAATGATTTGTTCTTTTATATTTCCCTTTTAGGCTAAGCAGCAGCACCATGAGCGTGAACTTTATGAGTTGAAGATCAAGGCTGAAAGAGAAGCTTTTGAAACAAAGCTGCAGCTGGAAGAAAATAGACAGAGAGTTGCCAGGGTACACACTCATTAGTTTTTTTTTTATTTATTCAATTCTGTTCTTCACTTTATTAGTTTCCATGTATGCATGTTTATATTATTGTTTGTGCAACGTTTTGTATGGTTTTGCTCCAGGCTCATTTGGAACTGCAGGAAAGCTTGGCAGCATCACAAAAAGAGTCTTTGGAAGGCCTCCAGGAATCAACTTCTAAAATGATGAGTCAACAGGCTGAAGCAGCAAGACACACAGCAGAAGCTGCCCGACACATTAAAGAGGTGAATAATATCTTCCTTCCTCTGCTTGGGAAACAACTCGCGTCTTCATTTTAAATCAAAAGCTGATTGTTGAGATATGGTAAAAGGAACGGTCAGTGGCCGGACAAAAACCCCCCAGAAAAGATTCACCAAATCAAGCGTTTGATCTTTGCATCATGTTCTCTTTCAGATGACAGAACTTGCACGGTCCCAGATAGCAGGAACTTTGATAATCCCAGCTGTTAACACTGATTATGCTTTAATGGATCAGCGGAAAGAACACAGGAACTCAAAACCACAGGAGGACAAAGCTGACTCTGACAGGTATATTTTGAGCCCAAAATTTTCCCAGTTATTGCACTATATTGTGTTACCTTTACAAAATTGAATACTAATATTGGTTGCGTCATTTCTCTTGCAACTTAAAGGGCAACGTTTTGCAAATTTTGCATCATCATGCAAAATCCACTTTTTTAGCCATTAAATACATTTTGTTGTGTACTCTGAGTCTAGGAATTCTGAATTTCTATGACGTTTTTTAGAACTGTTACGTCACAGTGACAGAATCTCTAAATTAAGGTCTGGATTTACCAACTACAATTTCATCATCTTCATTCTCCTCTGGCTCTGGGTCAGATTCAAGCTCCAACATGTGAGGCTGGATGGACAAGTCTTCTGCTGTTGACATCTTTCAATTAATTTGTAAATAAAGCATTTCTGCACAGCTAAATAGCCATAACCCCCTCTATGAAACTAGAACGGACCGCTCTGGAAGATGGAGGTGGGGAGGGATGTGAAGCACCTCGTTTGGATTTAAAGAGACAGCATCAAAACGAGTTGATCTGAGACACACTTCAGAAAAGTGGTGAAAGAGGGGATTGTGGAGTTACAATCAAGAGGAATTCAGACTAAAGCGTTGCCGTTCCTCTTTATATAGACCCCAACTAAATGATTTAAATGTGGAAAAAGAAGGATTAAAAATCATGTATCCACTTTAAATGTTTGCAGTAACATGTATACTTGGCTTATACAAAATTATATCCTCAATAGTTTATGACAGCAGTATTTCTAAATGGCCATTTCAACCCTCATTCAACTTTATAACCAACATTTAAAGCTAAAGTGAGTTTTTGTTCTAAATGTTTCTTTTTGTTTCAAGTATGTTCTTTTTTGTTTGTTTGTTTGTTTTTTGTTTTACAACTTTCAAAGTGAGTTTTCGAGCCGAAGGACCAGGTCTGAAGAACATGGTCAATCTGACTCATTGTCTTACAAAAGGCCAGACCACAGGTACTAGTTTTTTGTTGTTGTTATTTTTTATTTTATTTATTTATTTATTTTTTTTACCATTTTCCACTTGGTTTAGAAAAACCAAGACTTATTTTGTCATATTCTCCTCCCTCAGTGTATCTGCCTCTACCAGCAGCCACTACAGCCAATCACATGTTTCATCTGGTCCCAGAGAACAGCCAAACAAAGAGGCATCTGCAGGGAAGCAGGGTAGTGGGGTTGCCAAGAAAAGGCTGGAAATGGAAGAAGCTAGCAGCTCAATTGAAGAGGACCTTCCATCGGCAGCGAATGGCTCGCTCTGCAGTGAAAGCATCCCCTCAGTAGTGGATGAAAAAGGTACTGCATGACAAGCAAGCTTAGAGTGTAACAGTTCACAGTTTACATTTATTATATAGTGAAAAGTAACTGTATCCATCAAAACTTAAAACAAAATAAACACCTTGCCTTTTACAAAAAGCAAAAACCTTGTTTTAGGACCATCCTGTAAATGTTAAATTTGTCTGTGAGCTCATTTTGTTGCTGTTCTGTCAGACACTACATCAGTGGCCACAGAATACTCTTTGAAAATGGAAGAATCCATGACAGAGGACGAGATAGAGGAGCGCTCCTTCCGCTCGCTGCTTCCATCTGAAGCCCATCGCCGTGGAACTATGGAGAAGAAGTCGCGCCACAACCAGGAAGCAGACGACGACAGAGCCAGTCATAATGCAGCATCGGTGTCAGAGACGGGGTCACACAGTACCTTTAAGGTTGGACTCCCTTTTCTCCCCCGCTTTGCTTTTAAAGTAATCATGTGGAGTCGTCCTTCACTTCTCCTAATTTTTTCTTTCATTGTTCTTTTCTTGCAGTCCTACAACGCCCATATAGCCTTTTCAGGTGGACAGGACAGCTTCTCTCAGTTCACTATGGAAATGGTGCGGCAGTATATGAAAGATGAGGAGGTAAGACTACAGCACCAGAGCTCTCTGCTACATCTTCGCCAGAAAGCTCTGAAGGAGAAGACCAGAGCAGAGCTAGCCTGGCTTGAGCACCAGAGGAAGAAGCTTAGAGACAAGGGTGAAGATGATAAAATGCCACCAATCCGTAAGAAGCAGAGGGGACTTCTGATTAAACTACAACAGGAGCAGGTACTTAGCTAAGAATTATTAAAGCATAATGTGCAGTTTAGTTTTGGTTGTTCTGTGGTTTTAACTACTAGCAATCAACCGGTGTTTTGTCTCACTTGTATAATTTTTTCCCCCCTCACAGGCTGAGATCAGGCGCCTCCAGGAAGCCAACAAAGCAGCTAGAAAAGAAAGGCAGTTGTTGCTTAAACAGCAGGAGGAGATTGAACGAATGAGAAACTCAACACTCAGACTGAAGGAGCGTCTCAAGAGTGCTGGGGGACAAACTCCACCTGTAAATACCACAGTTCCCCTCAGCAAATGTCCTGCACGATGTGCTTTTCAAAGCAGAGGGAGAGTAAATATTTTATAATTCATTATTCTCTGTGTTTGTCTTTAGGAAACTCCAGCATCAGAACTCCCAGAGTCCGAACCAGCCTCTCCTAACAGCACCATGTTCAAAGATGATATACGAAGCCCCTCCCCCTCGCTCTCCATCTCTGGAAGTGAGACCAGCAGCATCATGCAGAAACTGAAGAAGATGCGGTCTCACATGGATGAAAAGTAAAGATTTTATTTCACTTTTTTTGGTCTTGTATTGCTTTTTGATAGGTTTTTAAATGAGTTTTAGTCTTATTTATTCATGCTTTGTTGTTTTATTTGATCACAGTGTCAGTTCTTTACATTTCCTTGTGCTTGTGCTTCTTGCACACCATTTCTGCTAAATGTTTTTGAATAACACTGCGGCAATTTTTCTCTGCCCTAAAGGAAATGTGATGCACTTCAGATATATATTACTTATAATTCTTTCATGTTTGCAAAACAGGTAAAATAACCTAATTCTATATTATATGAATTTCTAGAAACAACAAACTTAAGAAGATCTATCAGTAATGAGT